GATACATCTAGTTATCATATCATTATATATGTACGGTGTACTTTTCAGGCCTTATTTCTGCTTTTTTTTGGTTGACATCTACACTCTTCGCTATGATTAAGTATTATTATTTTAGATCTCTACCGTCATCGTACTCAGTTTGTCTTATTATTTGTAATTTTCCATTTCTTACGAACTAATTTGACGGACATGAGATTTAGTCATGATCATTGAGTTTTTGATGTATTTGTTATATAAAACTTTTTTCTGTTTACTTACTTTTGTGGCATGTTGTCTGCTCTGTTTGTTTAATAGCCCTTATTTTATTCTTCGAATCATTGTGTGTTTGACGGATTTCTCAATGAGAGACGCCATAATTGAGACTTGCTTATTTATTACTTCAATTGTATCTACACTCAGAGTATAACATTTTTAACATTTGAGATGTATCTTCTTACCTGTAGAATTCATTTGTATAACTGGAGATATTTTGGTTTTACCTTGAATAAAAATTAGCGTTCAAATACCAACATATTACTACCGTTTGATTAGATATTGCCGTACATATATAGTACTCCACAACCCTATCTCTTCACCACGAAGGAAATAGCATTTTACAACCATTCACGTGCAACAAAATCGCATATATAATCTGTTATCTAGTATAAGTTACCAGTTAACACTTATCTACAGATAGAAAGTAGTCGTATACGATAAGACAAATCGAATAAGAATAGGAAGAGGGATAAGCGGAAAAAGAACTGGAGTAAAGTATTATATATTTGGTATGTTTTTTTTAAGAACATACTAAATTGATGATGTAATTAATTCAATGTCTGATGAAAGAATAAAAAGTATTTCTGGTGTGATCTCGTTTCGTCTGTTTAATATTGGATAGTGAACTCAATCGAATTTTGTTTGCATAAACGTAAATTACAGTTGTTGTTTTTTTATTCACTTACCACACATGGACATATTCGTCTCGATGCAAGTTAAATAAAAATGAACAAGGGTAGATTCACAATCACTCATTAATACACTGAAATAAATTTCTGTGATAATTGAATCATAGTATGAATTAGTAGTGAAATAATTAGATCTATATAAGGCACAAAAACAAGAACTGTAGAAGAAGCATCAATCGGATATATCAACAGAATTCTCTATTATGAGAATTTACCATAAAAAATACAAATGTTAATCAAATACTTGAGGTGTACAATAACTAAACCATTTATTCACTGCATTTTAATTTTATATTGAATAATGTCACATTTTGAATCAAGTATTATAATTGTCAAACTTATCACTGAATAATTAATAATATGTCGTATACAGTTTACTAGTTGTGACAGTTAAAATATGCCTAATCTATTCCTTGACAAGTGACCTACTATATCATTGTTAATAGTGTGCAAATCATTATCTCAACACCATTGAACAAATAATTTGCTAAAGTGTTCAATATTCACATTAAACAGAACAGTCACGTAGTTAATAGCTATCTGGATTAATCTTAGAGTAATATTGTTTAACTGCTACACTGAACAACATCATGAACGATAGTGTCCAGTCTTATACTTAAATCGAATAGTCATACCGCGTTACTGTTACAAGGGTACAATAATGTTATTCAGTAATTTAGTTATATTGATTAGTTAAAGCAGATAATTCATTTATACTGTAAAATGTGCACATACACATTCAATTATTGATTAATGCAGTGTAACTTACCGCCAGTCCAATGATTTCAGATTTGATTGTTGACTGGATATTTGAATGACACACACTTCATAGTAACTTTAGATATTGTTTTGATCAGTAGTGAATTTGTGTTTGGCGTACAATAGACACTTAATCATCGGTCTTACCTTTCTTCCTTTAAATCAAGCAATATCAGTGTTTGCTCCATTATGCATTAACAAGTAAACAATCGTGTCCGCAGTTCAGAACACGTAGCAGAACCAATATTCTGTCAAGTCATTACAGTTACTCAATGTTGAACGGTTTTTCAGCCATCGATTATTTGTTCAACAAACAGATATTAATAAAATATCAAGATCATAAGCTGATATAAAAATATTTTCTTATTCACACAGTATTGTGTGAACGCATTTTATTGAATTCTTTTTGGTATTCTATACAAAATGACAATATTGATCAAGCTGGAATCTTTTCTGGAAAACACTTCTTTCAGTACATATGTTTAGGTAAATTTAAAATTTTTATCAATGTCTACTGTGAATTTGTAGTGTTCTAATTAAAGTTGAGTGTGTTTAAAACAGTATTCAAATTTATTTGTACGAGTCCACATTTCCACGTTGTTAATTTTGATCTGTCTCACAATTAGTTATTGACACTGTAGTGGACGGTGCTATGTCAGGCCCACATTGGCTATTCTAGCTTCTGGACAGATCAATTTATTCATTCTACTCGAGCTGCACTTTGACCTTGTCACTTGTCCGCTTATTAACCTGATTGTTTTTATATGATCGTATGTGCGTGTATTGCTTACACTACTTATCACATATCTGTAGTTTATTTTTGTCTGAATATAAATATTGATTAACGCTTGACTAAATTGAGTTGACTCACTTACTTTCCCCTCTGCGCGTCATTTCCTTTCGCTTCGCTTCCTTTATCTGATCGTCTGTCGAGATAAACGTGTGGTGGACCAAACAGTATATTAACCAAAAAGGAATAGTAATAAAGTTATTACGTCCAGAAGTTAATATAACAATAAAAAACTTATAAATTATTAACGCAAAATAAAGGTTCAGGGACGTTGCTTAAATCAGCTGGCTGTTGCGTATTCCACTGTGCTTGGTACCAAAGATCCACAATTATAGATAATTAATAATTTCAATGAGGTAAATATGGCTCCAGCCATTTTTCTCGACGTAGAATGCAATAGGAATGTCACAACAGTCTATAAATATAGTTGATAGTTAATCAATAGTTTAGTTATTATATCCACAGGGATGATAGAACGAGGCATGTGTGCATAAGAGTGTATTTATTAATGCATAGTTAACAATGTAGTCCTATGTGTGATTCAAAACGGAAGTTAGTTGTCAAGGTCACATACTCAAACAACAAGTACAATCGTTTAGTAATAAATGTACAGATTGTGGAAATAAACAAAATAAATGCGAAAGCTATCAAAAACTATTTACGAAACAGGTTTATTAGGCCTACCTCCACAAACGAATGCCAGAAGTAAATTCCTACAACGCCACCTGTATTTGGTTTCTTATTACTGCCGTCATATAAACGGGGTTAGTCTAGGTAATATACAAAGTTAAATGGAAGATTTATATTTATTGTATATTCATACATTCATCCAAATTGGGATCAGATCAGTTGACACCATAACATCAGACATATAAAGTCTTGTAAATAAATTCATACGCATTGAACAAGTTGGTGATCAAACGGATTCAGCAATTTAAGGGATAATGTTTCCGTGCATGTTGTAATAGACACCAAATTCAAGTTTCAATTTTTCCTTATAACAAAAATAATTTTACAAAAACACATAAAGCCAATATAAGTAGCAATCAGATGGGTATGTCTATTCTGTCCAACTAATAAGCATCTATCATTGTAGCTTAACCAAGTTTACATTGGTTCGAACTTAGATTCTTCACTCGACGCTACTTATAAGAGCCAAACAAGCAATACAAATAAGTCTACACAGGAATATTCCTCATATTGTAGAAATTTTAAAGTAAGGATCAACTATAAGAAATATTCTTCATCGGACAAACTCTCTTTACAGTAAACCCTACTTGATTTTGTTCACTTCTATTTAATATTATTTGCAATGATTCTACTTATTATCATTATTATTATGAAAGACTTGATCCGTATTTTCTTGGTTCTCATTTCTTTCATAGATGCATATTTTTTTTAGTTTATAGGTTAATTACATACCTAAAATTGATTATGTTCACCCTAATGATCGAATATTTCTTATATTATGTAATTGTTTGCTGGAAATTGTGCAATCAATTTTCTCCATTACAACCTATTATATTGATATTTTCAGAAGAAAAAATATAAATTTTTCCGAGACCATTAGTTTATTTCTATAATGTAATGAGATTAAGTTGATCTGAAAAAATTATGCTGTATTTGCGCCAAACATTTCGAACAATCTGATTTCATATGATTAAGTGAATTTCGCAAATGAGACTGGTAGTGTTTCAGATATAAAATATGAATGATAAGTACTGACCCCTGTCTACTGAAACTGACCTAATAATTAAGTCTTTCTATCTATTAAATCATTAACTCATTTATCAGGTACAGATGAGTGCATTTGGCTTTGAGATACACTCTAATTGTCAAGGCTAGTGACAGTAGGCATCTAACCAAATCGAATTAGATGCGGCAGTTCAGATCTGATACTTAGTGAGTCCAGAGCTTTGATCGCTGAGCCACCACAACGTGAGTGATTAAAACAAAGAGACGTCATATGGATTACAATTAGGAAACAATAATTGTTTAACTGGTTAGAGAGGATCCTCGGCTGCAAAACTTAATTTGGGTCATTCTTAATATTAAAAATTTTTGCCCACTGTAAACAACATTATGATTAGTTTATTGAGTTTTGAATTACAGTTTTCTACCCAGTAGGTCGTTTGACAGTCAGAAACATTGATGAATTTAGCGGCTGACCAGATACCCACCAAACCAGGCATCTTAACTTACTGGCGATACCCCCACGATATTCAGATGGAGGAATTCCTAGTCACGCCCTTCCTGTTACATTACTACTGTTTTAGTTACTTTTCTTCACACACGCATTCCACTGCTCTGAAATGACACTAACTCATGGTCTGAAATTTTTCATAGCGCTTACATACAAGACACTATCAACCACATCTGGTCACACTGAGAAGAGCATTCCTTCGGCATAGAATAATTAGTAAGACTTGTTCAACTTAGTCGATCCCCAATATAAGTTTTGAACACAAGTGATTCTCAATAAATTTACTAGTTTTTTTATTAACAATTGTGGTTGTATATTTGTACCAAATAAAATTGTTTGGAAATGTATTTAAGAATCTAAGTCATTGTCTACCATGAAGTAAGATTATATTGAAACTAGTAATGTATACAAGAGATGACATAATAATACCACGAAGGCTACAATCCATGAAGTTAACATCTATTGGTAAGAAGCATGTTGGCTAACAAAATGAAAAACAGGAAATCGTCGTAACTACTTTTCTCATTTGTTCTTTCATCGCAAAAGGTTATCTAAAGCAGAAAAATTTACTTCTAATATTCTTAACTGAACGACATGTGCTCAAACTACACAGGTAGAATGAAGTTTATCGACGCTTTATGTACACTATATTAACGGTTCAAAGTAGGAACAAATTGGGGACTAGTTTTCCAAAATGAACATATAGTATAGTGCATTTGCACTCTTTTAACAGATTTCCAATGAAATGAATATAAATAAATAGGGTACTAACATGGAAAGAGAACATCATTTATCTGGTTCTATTAAAATTATATTTCTCTTTCTAACTGATGAATTCACAAAAGATGTGAAGAAAAAACAATAACAACAGTACAAATAAGTATTAGTTTCCACCACGCTTAAATCAGACGTGATTTACAACAATTAACAGTAAAGTCGTTTCTAATTTTATGCACGTTTTGAAAAACCAGGGCGTACAGGCATAACATAGTTAGCCGCAGCTTGATATTGTAGTTGATAAGCCAAAGGATGTATTTTAAAGCCAAATAACCTGTTAAAAATGAAATAAATAAAAAACAACAGTGTAAAAATAAACAAAAACTATGCACTGAAATATGTTTACTGTTTGACAGAGCCTATATGACTTTTATAAACTCCCAATACTACAAAATAGTTGCCTGGAATATTTAAAGTTGTTGTGAATTAGTTACTGTTTCATGTACTAAATTTATAGACCATAGGTGACGTGTTAAAAACTATCCTATCGATTTTAAATTTTAATACCAAGTATTGTTGATCTGATAACATTCCCAATAGTTCAACCTTATAGAAGAGATAATATGTTGAAGAGAACTACATTGTAGGAAAATTACGAACTACTCTAGCGTTGTAACATAATTTACATATTTAAGTGATGGAAAATTTATTTCCAGTGATGATTTATAGATGAATAATTCTTTTTGAACTCAGTTACAATACTTTGTCGGTCTCTTATAGAGTTTATTACTTTGAAAACCGACATCATTTGGAGTTAATGAAGTGCAAAAATCCAAAACGCTATGTTGTTTTAATTTGGAACAGCTTGTGTGTTCGTACTATCGACCCCACATGGAAGTCAACTGAAAATAAAAAGTATTCGTGTATATTAGCGGAATATAAACTAGATTAATGCACGTTCCGTGCACAATTGTATTGATACACGCTGATTGGTTATTTCTTATCCAATCAGCGATAGTAGATTCTTGGAGAAGACTCTAGAATCTCATGTAAAAACTACAAACATACTAACGATTTTCTTGTTCTGATTCCTACTTCCATCTACCCTTATTATCTGGAATATAATTTCGTTCCTGTTCAACCGTGTTCTGATTTAGGGAGTTGTCGAGTGAAGTAGTGTCAAAAAATAATAGGGAATAGGAATAGCTGGGTCGTAATAAGAGAAATTATAACAGTGTGATAAGCTTTATGATTGAATTCCTACTTTAGAATGCCATTAAGTTAAAATACAATGCCATTATTACCCCATATTATCAGCGACTATGTAGTTCTACCCATTTATCCTTGAAGGATAAATCCTAAAACTTTCGATAGAATTTTAGCATCTCGTTTAGGGGGGTTTTGATGTGGTGATGAGACGAAATTTTTTAATTGTTAAAGTCATTGAATAGGATTATAATCGGTAGACGAATACAACGGCCACGTGATCGAGTGATGACTACTTAAGAGATCGCATTATTGATGGTTAGAAATTAAAGACAAGACCACTAGTCAGATAAGTAGTTTCGCGTGTAATAAAGTGTTATTATATCCAGAATATGAACACAAAATAAATGCAATCAAATATCACAGGCGATTGGAGGAGATTAGCTTGCAGGTTGCTCATTACCCAATCAAGACCTGGTTGTTAGGTCTAAACTTTTGGCATCGTATCATAACTAAGTGAAATGGAAATCTTCAGAGGACTATATATCTAAATAACTGTTGTATTAATTAACAAGCTTATTTTTATGAGACGGATAGTGAGTCACTTTGAACACAAACATTTTAACAGTTATTTGGATGAACATTACTAAATGAATAAAGGATTTCAGGCTGAGGATAACAAAGTTAAGATAGCGTTTATTTAACACTAAACGATCATTTTATGTAAAAACAACATAGGCAAACCAATTGCCGTTTATTGAATAACTATTTGAACTAATGCACACTTTATAAGTCTTGTTACTATTTGTTTCAATAGTTGGACTGAGCCATGTAGATATATGCAGACTACCTGGTCTGGGTCCGTGTGATTATTGTAACCGGTGGTTAGAGATTTAGAACGACACGAATCAAAATCGTTCACAATTGAACAGGTGCATCCACTGTTTTTCCTTAAATTCTAAGTTCCTAAACTCCTTACAAACTTTTTGATTATGTCACTAATTTATATTTTTCCTCTAAAATTGTATATTTCATGCATAATCTTTTGTAATGTGAATAATACTGTTGATACCTCTACTACTCTGGGGTTCGCTCTGAAACTCATCTCGCTGTGCTAACGAGGTATGGAAAATTGAACCGATGCACACATATCCCAGGTTCTGCGTCGTGTTTGACTGAGTGACTGTTTTGTTTACCTTTGTGATAGCTACGTAACACAATACTGTGCTGCTGACTTCGAATTTAAACCTTTCCAGTTCGTATCGTTTTGTCTTGTTTGTATGCGGTTGGATTATTACTGATTCTAAAGTACTATTCAATTAATACATGTTAATATCACGGAAGGAAATTCCTTGAAAACTTGACAATTTTAACGCGTTCAGCTACTCATTAAGTATTATTCAGACACTAGGTGTATAAACATGCAACAAGTAAAAAAACTTAGGTCGATTTTACGGCTGTTTCTTTGAAATTATGCAACAGCTGCCTTCGAGAATTATATAACTTGAAAGTTTACATTAAGTAATAAATTAAGTACTCAGAGATGAACAAAGTAAGACTGAATTCTCTTTTATTCATTTAACCAGAAATATATAGAATACGACCAAATTAACATCAAAGGATCCTTTAAGTACCATATGTATGAGAGGCATAGACAGTTTAGCATAACTCAATGAATGTTTCAGAGTATTAAAAACGAAAGTTTAGTGAAATCAACGATATACTCTACCATACATTTAAGAGTATTCGTAACCCGAAACAGTGGAAAGTTTCTAAAAACAGTTAATTTTATTACACAGATGGAGTTTCAGGAAGCATCAGTCAACAAAAAGCTGGTAACTCACCTATCACGCACAGATCCATGTACTTGATTTCAAGTGACACTCTAAGCGCGAGGCCTAAAGATACTACCCGGTCACTCAAAGCGAATTAGGTTGAGTTAGGCTCAAACTTGTGACTGAAAACAGGCGTTGGATTACGTAGCTGCATTATCTTATTTTTCTCCTAAGTAATTAATACACAATTTGTATAGCATATCAAAATAAGTATAAACACTTCCTATAATAAAACCTACCTTGCAGTAAACTGTTTACTAGCTCGTTTTGGTCTGTACTCTGGATGAACTAAAAACAACATATGCGGAAAGCCAGTACCGAAATACGCTCCATCTGTATGATGATGACGAGTAGATTTCGGTGTATAGGTATCTTGACATCTAGGACAATATATCTTAACCATAGCTTCACCCGGAACGTCTGATAAACCGACTGGTAAACATGGTTGACTTTCACAGTAAACCTTTGATAGTAAAAGCATTAAAAAAAAGAATTTAGATACATTTAGATACATGCATTTAGATACATTAAAGCAAACTTTTCCAATCTACTTGGAAACTGGTGAATAATCGGGATATCGCACATAAGGATGAAATAAACACTCGCTGATTTATAGATCTAAACTACTATAAATTTCCTTCTAGTCGTATGTAAGATTATAATGATAACTAAAGACTGGTGTTTGCGGTGGACTTACCTATTCTAATGACACAGGCTATTTGGAATTTTGAGATGGTGGAGAGGGCGAGGACACACTGCAGCACACTGGCAGCACGAAAAAATGAAGAGAAATACCTGAAGGATTATTATTTATTTTATTTGTTTCAACACATAAATATCGGTACAAGGGGGCACCAAATATAAATGCGCCACACAAAACAATGAGAATGGGGAGATAAAAAGGTAAGGAGTGCAAACAAAAAAAAAGAAGATGAACAATAATGACCAGATTAGTGTAAGGAAGCGTAATAATAATAATAATAATAATAATAATAATAATAATAATAATAATAATAATAATAATAATAATAATGGCGGAAACGGAAAGGTACAACCAGAAGAAATCTTTCAGTTAAGGAAGATACAACTTTTTATGAAGAAAGTACAAGAATGTTACAGCAAGATCGCCACTGGCTTTAGTTCTGAAACATGTTTGATAGCATATCTAGCCACTGTGTCGCATCATCTCTCGGACCCCAGCCAGGAAGTCGTGAAGGACCAACACAAGCCAGTGTTGTTGTTACCTTGCCGTGGTGGTCGGGCTTGCCTATCGTGATAAAGCAACCAAGCTATACTGGCTGGAACAACCGTTCCTCAAGGTCCTACCATGTCACACAGGTCGGTTGAAGAGCGGTAAGACTAAAAGCAACAAACCCAAGGTCCGAAGGCGAAGTCGTACTTCTGACTGTACAGAGGTGCGACAGCAGTAAGGTGTTTCCTTCAGACAACCAGCATGACAGCGATGCTGCCTTCCCACAAGGAGGGGTGGGGTTAGAAAATGTCGACCCTAAAAATGCACACCCCGCCTTATCCCACGGATATCCGTCTCCGGCGGTAATGTCTCAACAAGTACGGAGCTAACACAAAAATTACCCATAAACAGGTCGTGTGTGATCGACCTCAAGCAGTTGTCCCTTGGGCACTGCGGTCACGCTCTCAGGTCACTAAGACCACCTCTAATCTAATTTCCTTTTCAGGTACCTCCAGAAGAACCCTTCCATGGTGTGGGCAACCGGGAAGTGATAACCGCCCTCATACCTCTAACAGCACTCAAGACCACTGTATTTATAATCAACTTCCCTCTTCAATTCCTATTATTCCTCCTACATCGACTTCAAACTCTAGACTTGTTTTTTCGGCTTCCCCTTCAAGTGTCACCATAGCCAACGATTCTAGTGCTCAAAACTCTGTCCCAGGTCTACTGAAACCTCGTTCGAGTGAAGTAGTCGAACGCGTTGACAACTTCACTTATCTTGGAAGTCTGATCAGCCCTAATGATTTGGTGTCGGACGAAATCTCAGCACGGATTCGAAAAGCTCGTTTGGCTTTTGCCAACTTACGTCATCTATGGCGAAGGCGAGATATCCGTCTATCAATAAAAAGACGAGTATACTGCGCGGCAGTCCGTTCTGTTTTACTTTACGGCAGTGAAACATGGCCTTTAAGAGTTGAAGACACTCGTAAGCTACTAGTATTTGACCCCAGATGCCTTAGAAATATTACTCACATCTGCTGGGATCACCGGGTAAGTAATAGTGAGGTTAAACGCAGGGTATTAGGGAATGATGGTAAATCAGTTGATGAGTTTGTTAATCTTCATCGACTAAGATGGTTGGGTCACGTGTTACGCATGACCGAACACCGATTACCACGACGTGCAATGCTAACCGGTGGAGATGGTTGGAAGAAGGTTAGGGGCGGCCAAACCAAAACGTGGCATCAGTGCTTGAAGCCACTAACTTCTAGTCTGAGGCATGTTGGTAGATGCAGACTAATTGGTTGGGGTCCGCGTGACTATCGTAACCAATGGTTGGATACTCTTGGTGACATGGCTCAGAATCGATCACAATGGCGTCGGTGTATACACTCCATGTCTTCCTTTAAACTAAGAGATTAAAATCGCTTCATATCTTTCTTTCTACGAACTAATTCTTTCTTCCTGTACTATATCCTTGTATTCAATCTTTCTTTTATATATTACCACCTCTGAATTGACTACTTTAATGAATCCGGTGTCCATCTTGTTGTGTTAATGAGGTATGGCAACTTGGACTGATGCATATATGTGCCTGGTCCTATGTTGTAGCTGACTGACTGACTGACTGAACACGAGCCAGCCATTTGCAGCTTTCTTTTATACCAAGACACCATGTCATATACTGACCACCTCTCCGCTTCTTCCAACCAGTCCCAGAGTCGGCAAATAATGCACGACATGGAATTCTCTGGGACGACATTCGGAGAACATGTCCAAGCCATTGAAGTCGGTGTTTTAAGATGGTGACACCAATTGCATTATCGTCGCTGTGTCCGAACACACGATGCCGAACCTCTGCATTACTAACATGGTGTTGCCACTGGATGTCAGCAATCCTTCGGAGACAACGATGATCGAACACAGAGAGTTGTCTAACGTCCTCAACTCGGAGAGGCCAGGTTCCACAAGCATAGAGCAAAACTGCTCTCACCGACGCGTTGTAGATCCGACCTTTTACAGCCAGACTAACATTACGAAGGCACCAAAGATGGCCCAGATTGGTATAAGCCGTTCTGGCTTTCACTATACGTGAATTGATCTCATCACTTACGCCACCACCAGAACTCATGCAGCTACCTAGATACACGAAATTCTCAACTACTTCTATCTTTTTATCATCCACAGTGAGTACAAGATTAGAATCCTGTCAGTCTTGTAGAAGTAATCTGCACTTCGGAGGTGCAAAGCACATACCATACCTACGGACATTGGCTGCCAACTGATTAAGTGCGAATTGCATGGCTTGGGCATTATCGCGCAGTAAGACAATATCGTCCGCATACTCAAGGTCGAGAAGTCTTTCTCCAGGCAGCAGATCCACACCGCCATTACTTACATTCATCAGAGCTGTTTCCAGAATGTCATCGATGGCAAAGTTGAAGAGGAATGGTGAGATTGGGCAACCCTGCCTAACCCCACTACTCGAATGGAACAATGGAGAAAGGTGGTTGTATGCCCTCACTCTGCCTGAGGTGTTTTTATATAGGGCTTTTAGGATGTTAATAAACTTCTCAGGCACACCCTTCTTCAATAGACAATCCCAGAGAACAGCTCTGTCCAACGAATCAAAGGCAGCCCTGATGTCAAGAAACACTACGATTGTTGGCCTTTGATAAGCCTGACGGTGTTCTAACATTTGGCGGAGGGTGAAGATATGATCGATACATCCTCGACCAGAACGAAACCCAGCCTGCTCCTCGCGAGTCAATCTTTCTCGGGTTTTGAACAACCGACGAAGTTTGACGGAAGCCAATAGCTTGGACGCAATCGGAAGTAGACTTATCCCCCGATAGTTGTTACAGGAACGACGTGAACCCTTTTTAAAGATAGGGACAACTATCGGCTCATTCCATGACGTTGGTACACTCTCTAGTTTCCAGACCTTTGTAAACAACACAGTCAGTTCTTTAGCCAGAAAGTCACCATCATCTTTAAAAAGAACCGGAGGTAAGTCATCTGGCCCCGGTGATTTGTAGCACTTTAAGAGTTGGAGTTCCTTGCGGACTTCCGCCTCATTTGGTGGATCAGTCGTCACCAGCCAGGGAGGGCAGAATAGTCTGGCCGATGTTGGCGGCAGGCCAGTTGAACTGCCCTTCGAAAAATTCTGCCCATCGTCCAATACGTCGATGGATGTTGGTGATTGGCATCCCGTCATCCTCGCAGATTGTTTCGCTCACACGAGACTTCTTGCTGCCGGCGGCTCGGATGAGTTGGAAGAGCTTCCGTTAGTTACCAGATGAAACTGCTGCTTCCAGCTCATTAACACACTTCGACCACCAGGTTTCTCGGTCCAATATTTATGTGCTCAAATAAATAAATAAATAAGTAAATCAAGATCTTTTAATTCATATACCTATTTATTTTGATATACTTTAATATTTCCTCACTTGAACTATTATGAATACATTTCTGTGTTATGTAGGTAGTGCAAAATAAAATGAAAAAAGTGCTAACTTCAGTTATGGTTGCGAAAAAAATGAAACAAGACTGCTTTTATTTCATTTAAATGTCAAAGTGAAAGAATATTTACAAGTTCAACATATGCAAGCAGAAAAAGTTTACTTACTCTAGGACAATAACCGAAATCCCCTTGCTGCCATTTCGCCACCATAAAACAAATACCACGATTTGTCAGAATGTATCTAGAATGTATTAGTCCATAAAGCATTTCAGCTGCTTGTTCAATGAGATCGGTATTTTCTGGATTATCAGAAGGGTCTAAAAGTATTTTTTAAAAACCTCATATTAAGTGACTGACCTACCAGAACAAACGTATCTAGCACAAACCTAGCAAATAAGTTAAATCCTCGATAAGTCAGGGAAAATATTTGACTCAGTGGTTTACTCTCTACAAAATACGGAGATTGATACGCACGCGTGTAAAAGTCAGCAAGCTGTTCCTAACAGTTTATTTGATGCCAATTATGATGCAATATATCAACACTTGTAAACTGCCCTTGCTTAACTCACCTATTTACTTTGTAGTGAGGCGAGTGTCTCAAAAAAAAGAACAGTGGAACATGGAATAGTGAGAAAAACATTGCTATTTCTTATGATGAACAATGGGTTCAGTATCCTAGAAGACCTAGGTTTCACACTATGCTAATTGTTAGCTTCCACTGAAACGCTAATCCATGAATGGTTTCGTTTCTCTGCAAATGCTTCCCTTTAAAAGAACTTTTAGGAAAAAAACTACTAGAGAATTTGGACTAAACGATTCACAATCATTCGCTATAGCGCAGACCCACTTACTCTTTATCTCTAGATTTTGAGTTCGTGTTCTTTTATAACAATTTGCTTGTTCTTTCAAACCATTTGAATTTTCAATATTTAGTTTTTCTCATTCTCCTTATTACATTATTTCGACTTTTCTGGTTAATTTCATCTCATAGCACTGTAGTACGACAACTTAAAGAAACGTACATCTGTATCAGGCTTTGCGTTGATGATAACTGTCTGGTTTTTGAAGCATCAGTTTTATCCAGACACTATAAACAGGAAATAACTTGAAAGATAATCGAACAGTGACTAGCGAAACTGTAGGAGGTGTGTAACTAACACCGAGGTCTAAATGGTTTTCTTAATGATTCTGATGAAGACAATCTTGAGGGGATAAACTCATTGTCAATAAACTCTTACAGTAGGAGGCTAGATTGATAAGTGAAGCGCCTATTTACATCTACACACCACTCGTTAGCAAAGTGATTTCAACAAATAGGTGCGTTAACAGCGACTTTCCAACCTTTTAAGAAATTGAAAAAGCTGTGATAGAGTTGGGACAGAAATGCAGCAAGACGTGATGAACCATCCCAAAAGACGGTTATCAATAGTCAGTCAGTCAGCTACAACGTAGGACCAGGCACATATATGCATCAGTCCAAGTTGCCATACCTCATTAACACAACAAGATGGACACCGGATTCATTAAAGTAGTCAATTCAGAGGTGGTAATATATAAAAGAAAGATTGAATACAAGGATATAGTACAGGAAGAAAGAATTAGTTCGTAGAAAGAAAGATATGAAGCGATTTTAATCTCTTAATTTAAGGGAAGACATAGAGTGTTATCAATAACTAATATTGGGAAAGAGTCACACTCCATTTTACGAAGATTAAAGATTATCCAGATCGGCTTTGGTTTTTCAAAAAGGATTCACTCTCTTTAACTTATTGCTAAACCGAAACGGTTACTCTGGTACACCAGGTAGGCTCGCCAACTGTAGCGGTCGAATGCAACTATATCAAGCATTTCTTCAGTCCATATTACATCTGGCATTTTAGTTGAGGAACGGCGAACCAAAAGTAAGGATCCTCAAGTCCAAGACATCACATAATGTTACTTTTTCAAATTTAGATAGTTGCAAACGTTAGTACTGAGTAAATAGCGAAGCAACCGAAATATTTCTATATCACACGGAAAAACAACCAGATTTAATGACATGCAACATGAAGGCACATAGTACCAAATTTTAGCATCTAAAAGATTTACGAAAAAACAAGATGCAACAGACGGTAATCTTACAAAACAAAAAGATTTATAAACGTCTTACCAGTTTCCAAATCAAGTATCATATCGAGAGCATCACGGTATTCAGGAACTTGCTCTGATAAACCGGTAAGGTTGAATCGATCTTGGATGTAATCCTCCTCTACTTCACAAAAGAACTCATTTCCACGTAGGCCACAGAACCATGATATCCAAGAGATTTCATCACTACTACTCATGTTTTATGTAGTACAATTCTCCAAAATTTAGCTTTAGTATGGTAGTCAGTCAAATTCTTTACCCAGTTCAGATTGAATAATAAGCTGGCTAATCAACAACGATCGAAACAAAAATTTCAAATAAGAACAAATATGACATGATAGATTAACTCATTAGGCAAATAAGTGAGGTCGATTGAAACTATACAAGATAATGAGTCATCATTTGCAAAAGCAGAAATTTAAGGCCTTCCACTCTCTGAAATACGTAAACAAACAATAACGACAAGTCTTTTGAAAACACTTTTTCCAGACAATGTAATGCCAGGACGAGTAATCAATCCAGAATGACAAAACTGTAAGAGGGTTGGAATCAACCTTAAATTTGAGTAGATAGCAACGAAAAGTGTAGATTCGTCCATATGCAATATAATGAAGGACTCGTATTGTATAAACGAACAATGGCGAGACTCTAATTTAGGGACGACCTTTGAACGAATCTCAAATGACCTTGACAATTATTAGCCAATCAGAAGACAGTTAGTATAGAGTGAAAATATATTATAAGAAAGTAATGAATTACAGTGGATATTCTTCTTTTACATGATTTAAAAACTTGTTAAGGTTTGACAAAGGTTCAGAGGTTCTGAATTCATAATGCATATGGTATAGAAACTCGTCCATAGGGTTAGGGTTGTAGCCTCCCAATAAACACCTCTTCTCTAAAATCTGTCGCAAACCGATCATATAGGGTTAGGGTTAGCACCCTAACCTCAACCCTAACCCTATGGACGAGTTTCTATACCATATGCATTATGAATTCAGAACCTCTGAACCTTTATCAAACCTTAACAAGTTTTTAAATCATGTAAAAGAATATCCGCTGTAATTCATTACTTTCTTCTAAGATATTTCCACTTTATATTAACTGTCTTCTGATTGACTAATAATTGAAATTGCTCAAACGCTTGTGATTGGCTCGTTCCTAAATTACAGTTTCGCTCGAACAACAACTAGACGAGTTAGTGATAAAAATGTCTTCATTTTTGATAGCCTTCCTCCTTTCACTTGGGAAAATATTCAAAGATGAACCACGAAACAAGCTTGTAGTCTTGGACCTACATGTGCGGCATATAAACGGCTGACAATAAATCTTTTGCTGAACGAGCTGTCGTGACCAGCAAAAATCGAGCATTGATGCATCTAGATAGGAACCTAGGTGTATGAAATAAGTTGGAGTATGAAATACTTCATAAAATTAGTGAGATGTTATCAAATCTCCAACAGAACAAAAGCTCCCCTCTCAAAGAGTTCTATAAAATTTCTTGGAGCGATCCAAATAATTAGCTTTGACTGCTCTTTATGGGTAGACAAAATTGGTACAATACAAACAGCTGTAGCATATCGAAATTGAGAGTACTATAACCAACGTTATGGAAAATAATAAACCTGGGTATTTCAGAGTACAACTATGTTTATGATATAAGTGGTCACTACGAGATCGCTTTTGAGTTACATATATCTCAACATGTATGAGTCCAGTTTTTGTTCCTAGGAAATTTTTGCAACTCGCCTCTGGATTACTTCCAGTGGAGGACATATTCTACGCACACGCAGTAGGGTTTGATACTGTTACTAAAAATATGTTTTAACAGGCAAATGGATGTTAGCATAACAAGCGTCTTAGCAGTGTACTTTAGGGGGTCTAATCCCTCCCAAAATATGGTGCTGGAATTTCCCACAATAAAGACAGTTCAATTAAAAGGCAAGATCTTTGCCCGAGGTTAGAGTAACAGGTCGCAATAAGACACAATTCCCTCAAAAGTCCGCCACATTTTGGTACAAAAACTTCCCCCAACTTATCTCAAAGATAGCAATAGGACAGGGTGTATCTCGAAATGAAACGGTATGCGATGGCATGCGAATTATTCGTCTAATGTATATGTTATATCATTCAAAAATACCACAAACCAAACAAATGACTACTGAACTAACCGAACGTGGTCAAAATCCAACCGCGACTTCGAGGGAATCTCAAAGCACGCTCCTTTGTTCAATCATCAATTTAAATAATGCCATGAAATTTTGGACGAAATGAAAAAAGCTTTTGCTTGACGGGCTTCGGTATTTAGTGACAGTGAATTGTTGATGTCTCTGAGTAGGAATTTGAGGATTTCTAAAAAACGAAAAATACTGGTAAATCATAGTGAGATGTCTTCAGTCCTTAAATTACTTCAAGTTTTATCTTTAAAGACTTACGGAAGATCGCTAAGATCATCTCGCAAATAGAGAAATGTCGGTCTGCAGTCCGTTCTTCTGTATCTTGTCCATAATTCCCGGGTGTCATTTGTAAGGTTTGTGTTGGGACTGAGCTTAAGTAGGTATTTATGGGGATTCCCCAGAAGTGTCTTGGATGCCATAAGTCTACAGAAGCTAACCTCTAAGATGCCTATACTCCAGTTTGTAAAGATTTTGTTATCTGAGAAGCTCTTCATAAGGTCTGTATTTAAGTGTCCGAACTGATTTCTTTGTTCGTTTCGGGATACACTCAAGCGTATACTTATACTTTTGTAGTGAGAGGATACACTATATTTCCATTTTCTAAATGAAGTCAGATAAAATTGTTGAGGGTCAACTAGAATGTTCTACCATCGAACGTTACATGTGCAAGGTTTGATCGAAGGTCATTTTTGTTGCACCTAGTCAAAGACTTTAGACCGTAGGTCTGAGATGGACTGTTTCATACCTTAAAGTGTTTAATGTTGACCCATTGCTATCCAGTGACCTGTGAAATCGAGTCAGACCCTTTGGAAGTGTCAGCTTATCACTTTGGTTGCGAACCCCTCTGTCAGGATTTTTATTGTCAGAGAAAAGTATTAAACCATACAACACTTGCTGTAGAAGGTTGTAGGATTTAATTTGTTCTACAGATATACTACTAGAACTGCAAACGCGATACTGGCGATCCCAGAGTCGGTGTGAAAGCTATGGTCAGAACAAGGACAACTTTGCTTTAAACGTTATCTGTTTCTAAACGTAAAAACAATTAAAGTAGTACAATAACTAAAGAAATTACAGTCATTAAGTGGAAGGCAGAAACATACCGACCAGTATTGCAGGTCTTATCGAAATGAATAAAAATTACGAGCCACAATATAATAATCGGATAATAATGTCTTTCAATTAGTAGGTCACTTGTAACAGGGATTGTTTACAGACATGGTGGGAGCTTAAGCGACAATTTGATTGGTTAGTTATGGACATAACTAACAAAGGTCACTTATATTAAAGATGCCATAGGTATTTGGAGTTTGATAACGACTTTACACGTAACGCCTTTATGATCGAAGGATACTAACTCAGTCAAATCGGAATTCAAGGATGAGGAGATTTGAAGATATCTTTGAAAGTTGTTGATATATTGAGAAGCGTTTGATCTGGGCTGGCTAGTGGTTGCAAAGGATGCATACCACGGCATTACCAATCGTGATCTGGTCTGGATGCGCGACCGACTACTATCAACTACTGTGTGTTCACAAAAGCTAATACAGTCAGCATCGTGTCGAAGACCAACAGAATTACTCATTTTGAAGATTTATTTGCTGATACAACACGAATGAAGAATACAAGACATCCTAGTACTGAACACTGAAGGACACCATCATGACATTTCATAACCTGAGAAAAAGTGAAATGTACCTATACTCGTAAAGGTGGGTTTTTTATATATGAAGCAAGCTAGTTGTAGGACCAGTGAAAGTCCACTGAGCCCTAGTCAAATCATCCGGCAGTTGGGTCATTATATATAGAAAACTTCATTGACCCTCGTCAAGATCAAGGACAACCAATGAGCACCAGTTAATCGTACGCCATAGACTGGCCCATGCGGCAGTGCTCTTACCTTCGCTTGTATCTACCTTAACTAATATATCTCTGTAATAACGTCCTTTGTGTTGTACAGTCTTCAGAGCATCTATAGTACCTTGATACGTCGATGGGGTAAACCACGAAAGGTGCTTATTGCGAGATGTAACTTCGACGTCAGCTAGTTTGTCACACCATTTGCGTCTAGCTCGAACAGGCCCCCAATCGTTTCGACATAGATCATCTACGTTGGTGATCTACATAGTCAATTAACGGCCAGTTGTTATCTAACTTTTTGAACTTACTGATGAGACATATGTGATTGACCACACCAAATGGCTTTGAGAAGTCAAGGTACATTGCATCAATCTTCCTCCTCTGGTAGAAAATATTTGTTGATTTGTCTATCATAGTAAGTAGGTTGGTCATACAAAAGTGATATAACAGAGTGGCCCTTCTTGCAATCATGCTGCTGAGGTGAAAAGATGTTTGGGGATTGCAATTTGTTACTTAGACCATAGTATGTCTGGAACTTCAATGGTACCGAGAGAAGTGCTATCAACCGGTTGTTTGAAGTTTTGCTGAGTCGGCCCCTAATGAAAATCAGAGTGATGTGAGGCACTCTAATTTTCTGGTGCCGCAACTCGTCTTACGGATGCAAGAACATCCCACTAAGCAGTTTTGCCAAGATTGAAGGTGCTCCCTCCAATACAACAGAAAGAACCATATCCAGTTTATAAAAAGTGTCTTCGTTTTGAGGCTGCTGCTTACAATGCACAGGTTCATCTCCGAGAGTTCTTTTGAGCCACAGGTGAGGCTTTTGACGATGTAGTTTTCATGGGACGGTTGACATTTTTATAAATAATGTTTTGATAGAAAATAGGTGGTGTCACCATCGCTGTTGATTAGGCCATTCGGGCCTACTAACTGGGAAGCTCCGTTTTGATTTGCAGAAGAGAGACTGCGTTGCGTAATAACCTTTTTGATTTAGAGACAAATCCGTCGATTAGCTTTATCTGATACTGAGGCCAATCTTCTCTTTTTTCCACCATTCATTGGTTCCTAACTTGTTTGAACTGCCTTTATGTGCTATCGCCACTAGTTTGCTTGTATTCCGCCAACGGACGTATTTTGCGTTTTAGTAACTGAAGAGTGCGATTATTGACGACCGTGAGTACCTTGTAATTTTTAAGGACCGTTTGAAATACAGACTGTTTTATAGCATATATGCGATAAGAAATTCTGGTGAGCGTCATATATTGTGTTGAAAGTTGGCTTCCGAGTCCACCTGTCGTAGTGTCGACTGTCGTAAAACTGACACACAATTGTTTATGTTTCTAACACCTGTTGTTAGTATGATGTTTTGTCTCAGTTTATCTAACAAACTTGAGGGCTATGACGGCATGACCTTTTTACTCAAAGGAGAAAGAATTGAATACTTGTTAATTAGGAATTCTTCGTTTATAGAGATGCTGTCTAAGTGTTCAGGTGTGTATCTATTCCTCCAAAGAGTTGCTAACTTCCTATATTCGAATAAACCTAGATCTTCAATGAAGTTGAAGACCTGAGCTTCAGCAGAGTTGTCACCTCTAATGTACGCATATTCATCAAAGCTGACTTTATGAAGGTTATAGTAATTTGGAATCAGAATATGAGCGTAACCAAGAATATTAGATCTAGATAATCCCTCCAGTAAACGGTCGCCGCACTTAAGGTCGTAAGAGGGCTTCCTGTAGATAGCCCTGACTAGACATCCCTAGGTGTTCGGCAATCTTACTAAACAGCAAAGAGATTCATAAAATTTAACAAACCCTTGAGTGTACACCTAATGTACTACCAAGCAAGATGGTAGGTACAAGGCTGCTCTCTCTATTTTTGCTTTCCTATCATCGAGAAATAAATATATACTGCTTATTACCAGTTCTTAATCTGTAATTCGAGATGCCTATGTTTTAGATACTTCTGTTAGATGAGTATTTTCAACGTTACCTAGTAAACACAACTAATCCATTTTGTTCGGCAGACTCGCGGCCTCTGTATATGGGTAGTCTATACTTTTGATTTGAAATTCTTGAGCTTCCTTATCCTGTTTTCCTGAATAAACCTTATGTAAATGGACAGGCAAAATACTTACACAGAATTTTCCGAGTTGGTTGTCCCTGGCTTTTCCATATTTTTACTTTGTTCTTGGCAGTTTCCAAGTGGAATGGTCAGTTCTAATTCGATTTTGTGCATCATGTGGTCTGTACGGTTGATCTGAATTTCAGTTTTGACCAGTGTCTGTTAATGTGAAATGCTTCGAGATGGACAGACGATAGGAAAGTTATATTTATTAGCTGGAATCTAGAGTTTCCGTCCTTCTCGTGAAAGATCACAAAACCATAAGTACAGCGGGCATGTGTAGATGAAAATGGAAATATCAATGAATGAGACTGAATGGATTAATAGAATTTGAGAAGCACATATACTCTGGAAAGCAATGCAGTCGCCGAGTGATTTAAACAGATAATACGTAGGTAGACTGTAACCTGTGACCAAACATACATCTGTAGTGGCATTGGACCATAACCACACAATTTTCAAAGCTGAACACAAGCCTACTCAGAAAATAGATATTCAATATTTAACACAGAGAAATACCTAGCAATGGAGAAGGCGCGAACAATGAAAGGAATGAACTGGAGTTGATCGAGTGGCATGGCTCGGCCATGCAGGCGTGGTCTCTGCTGAATGTTACCTTATATCTTCTATTCATATTAAATATATTGTTCTTTCTCTAGTTTAACCTTGTTCTACATCATGTATTGGTAACTGATACGATACAGTGAGTTGGTGTAGTCGATGGTATGACTTCCACGTAAGATCTTATAGATTAGGCAGATATCATGACAAATCTACAAATTTAGAATTAGGTCTATCATTAGAGCAGTACTAATATCGTAGTAGATCATAATTCTACACATCCACATACAAAAATGATACTAATAATACGAAGGTCTGAACAAATTGTTGCTGATCGTGTGACTGTTTGTTAAATGAATTAAATGAAGGGCATGACAAAAACAACGTTTTCAGACTCCTGTTTAAGTGAAATGTTGAGGACTAATAATGTCTAGTAATGTGAAAAATATCTTTCAATGCATTGTTCAGCCTGACGCATGTCTCGCATCTAATTTCACTCTTGTTATTATCACATGATTTTACCATTCTTATTTTTATTATCATAATGCTATTGTACTCATTTTCGTACTGATGCTGAATTGTCTTTACGTTTAAATTATCCATGCTCTTATGATTACTGATCTGTTCACATCTCCTGACCTTCGTTTTCCCTCCATGCCTATGAAATTCAGGTTTGCAATCTCAGCAACGAGCCAGTCATCGGTCAGACAGCGTAACAGCTGTTGTTTCCAGTATCCGTAGTCCGGTGTGATAAATGGATTAAAACGATCTCAACATACGTCAATTTCCCTGTGTCTGATGCATTCAAATGGCTCGTCTAACTTTATTTGATGCCACCTAAAGCCCGGAACCGTATTGTGGTGGAAGCTGCTTATATCGAGAGACATAAGTAGTATGTGACAACAGTCGAACGTGGAAAACCTGGCAGCACTAGGTTAAGAAGATCAAGTTGGAGAGAAGAGAGGAGAAAATAAAAGGGAATTGTGAACTTGAAGAATCACACAGAATATGAAGGGCAAATGACAGAAATTTGCAAACGAAGTATTCAGTGTATAGTTCTTATATTTTAAGAAGACAATGTGTAATTTTGTAGTGAAATAAATTGGTTGCCTCCACTTAAGTGTCTGTACCGGTTGGAATACATTACCATTTGAGTACCATGAATTTCCCTATACTTCTTACTGTAACTCTGTTGTATATCTTTTTGCACTACTAACAATGTTTATTACTTTAAAATAAATAAATACTTGACTGTTATCCTCTTTTGAGTTGTTGAACCCAATTCGAACTTCAGTTATAATGAACCTATTTCATATTAGAACACGAGTGAATTTACGCAAAAATATGTACGAACGTTTAGTAGTTAGAATCGCTAAACCTGAAGCTCGTTGTATAGTGGACAGTAACAGCACCTCTGTCAGAGTGTATTTATAGCATCCATAGCCTGCTTGGACAACTTCAACTTGATTCATTTAGGTGGTTTTCCATTTATTGGCATGAATTCAGCGACCCCTCATACGACGATCAACATCTATTCGTGTTAGGATAATCAAGGTTTGAACAACCTGTGTGTGATCCAAACTTGGAAACTTCGTCCAGGCTTAATGTCTATGAATAAAAAGCGACATGGATGTTTAAAAAAGTATAGAGTTAAGGGAACCTCATGATTTCGAATCCCTTAGATCTACAGTTCACAAAGTTGCCTTAACATTAGTCTTTCTTTACATTATTTTTCGTAGATAAATCAGTAATATACAGGTTTTTCGCACCGAACAATCTGCTGTCGGAAATCGCTAAAGAAGACAAAGAGTGCTGCACCTTTAACTAACTTATTCAAGATAAAGATAGACACTATCTAAAGTCTTTTGGAACCAGCTATCACATTCCGCCAGTTTAATGTCACCAACGCACAAATGAAAATCAATTTTGCGCGAATTTCAAAAAGGGCAGTGAATTTTGTACTTGTTGTGATTATACTTGCTTTTGGTACTTATTGCACTAAAAAGCATTCTTGGTCTACTTTAACTAAGAGTTCTTTGGTTAAAGTTTGAAATTTTTGCTACATTTTGTCCTGGGTACCTGTTTTTAGTCCTTGACTAACACTTGTATTCATATTGTTATCATTTTTTGTTTTTAAACCTTTTAAATCGAATTACAATGGTTGGTAAGACTCACAAATGTGGGCAACCAAACTGTTTGTTCCCTGTGGAAGAGAGGATGCAGTGTGACGAATGCCATAAGTGGTTCCACAAAATGTGCACCCGCTTTAGTCCCACCGCATACAAAAGATGCTCGAAGCCTAACTCACATTGGCTTTGCATGTTTTGCTGTACCAACAAGGCATTACTAATACAGGAGGCTATGAGCCTGTTGGCTTTGGCCTGTAAAAAGAAGGATGGCATATGCGCCGACAACACGGGCACTGACAGCGACGAATGTGTCAGTGTAGTACCTGCTGTTACGCGACGCCTCAAAAAGTCGACTCTGACTGACGTAAAAGTGGAATCTTCGTTGACATTAACAGGGGGAGTAGTACCATCTGGTACTGACATTGTTAATAATGCACCTTTAATGGAAACCGAAGATCTGGATAAAACAGTCACCGTTCCAAATAGTCCCAGTGTTATGAGGGATGAAAAATGGAATACGGTACGTAGGAAACGAACCGAAAAGAAAAAAGCTGTAAGCAGTACACAGGTAGTTAGTAACTCCCTGGTGGACCCAAATTGTGAGCCACAAATTGCACTACCGAAATCTGAAGGTAAGAGTGAAACCCATCCTGGCGTGACTGAGAAGAAAAATCTAATAACATCGAATATTATTGTGAGCAAATTGCGGGAGTCAAACGACCCTGATCCGAAAATTAGACACGCGCATGACTTAGAAAAGCTAGGAGAATACATTCGTAGTATTTTACCAGATAACTCCAAAGGAGTTCAGGTCAAAAAATTGGTAAGAATAGGCAAGAGGACCGAGGACAATGTTGAACCCCGTCCATGCAGACTCCTTAAGGTAATCCTAGGATCGGAGAATCAACGGGATCTCTTGTTAAGTAGCGCTCGTTGTCACGACAATTCTGACATCCGAGTTAGACCTGACATGTCTCTCGAAGATAGAATAAAAAGGAAGAAAGCACTAGCTGAACTTGAAACCCGTCGGCAAAACGGCGAGGAAAATCTCCGGTTAGTGGGTTTTCGGATAGTCAGGTCTTGGAAGCGAATGCTACCAAGGCCTGTGTGGATAGGCTGTTCTACTTAGGAGTTTTATATGCCAACGCTCGTAGTTTACGAAATAAGTTCTATGAACTAGAAGCACTAGTAGACAGGTTAAAGCCACTCATAGTAGCAGTGACAGAAACTTGGTTGGTCCATGACTTAGACATTACTCCAGAATTATCCGGATACCATTGCATCAGGAGTGATAGACATAGATGTAGAAAAGGAGGGGGCGTCCTGTTATATATCGCCAATGGCATAAATATCCGCTCCTTTACTAGCGAATCCCATGATAGCGGCACTTGTGAAGTCATTAGCTGTAAGTTGGCAATAGGATGTAGTACATTTATGCTAGGTGTCATCTATCGGAGCCCAATCTGCTTAGCTGATGACTTTGTTTTAGAGCACATTCATCTTTGGAGTGATAATACCAGGTGCTTGATAATAGGAGACTTTAACGCACCTGATATTAATTGGACTGATATGACCACAGAAGGATCTATAAACTCCTTTGATAGTAGGTTACTGATAACATTGATGGAGCATGCACTAGTGCAGCATGTATCCCAACCCACACGTTTTGGTGTTAACCAGGGTTCTTCTCTGCTGGATTTGGTAATCACTCATGAGACTGAGGATATTGTCGACTTAAATATTCTTCCACCGTTAGTAAACAGCGATCACGCTGTCTTGTCATTCGCGTTTAGAACTAGGGACATGTTATACGATCAGGTTACACCGCGCCCAAATGTATGGAAAGCTAACATATCAGCCATTCAGGAATGCGCTACTAAGACAGATTGGTTAGTAGATACTAGCATATCAGTTGAAGAAGCATAGTCTGTATTTAAAGGTAAATTTAGACTAGTTACGTCCCCGTTCATACCATACCTGGTACCGCGAAGACCGAAAAATAGTCCACCATGGATAACTAAAACGGTCAGGAAACTCCTTAGAAAAAGGAAGAATCACTGGAATATGTTCATCTCTACTGGCTTAGAACAATACAGATCCAGTTATTGTAAGATTAGGAATGCCTGTAAAGCGTTAATAAGCAAGACTAGACATTCATACGAAAAACAATTGGTTAGGGATTCTAGATATAGTCCGAAACGGTTATTCTCGTATATAAAAAGGCGAACTAAGAGAAGCGATGGAATACCATCACTTTTGATACGAGACAATCCGTTAATCTTAGCAGAGAATGATGCCGAAAAAGCTGAAGCTTTATCGGAATATTTTAGTAAAGTGTTTTCTATCGGTAATGAGGAACGACCAATGATTCATTGTGACCGTGACGGCTCGCTGATGGATCCTGTAGTCATTGAGAAAGATACTGTTTTAAGGCTACTTCAGCATCTCAAACCTGATAAGTCCAGTGGTCCCGATGATATTCATCCTAGGATTATGAAAGCCATATCAGGTGAAATCGCTGAACCATTAGCGATACTATTCGACATGTCTCTGAGACAGTCCAGACTTCCTAGAGACTGGAAAGACGCCATAATAAGTCCGGTGTATAAGGCTGGGAGTAGGGATTTAGTTAGTAACTATAGACCCGTTAGCTTAACTAGTGCAGTTGTGAAACTGATGGAGAAAATCATTCGGACAGCTGTTATAAACTATGTTGAAGGGCAAAATCTTTTCTCCAGGGCACAACATGGTTTTCGGAAAGGCCTATCTTGCTTGACAAATCTTCTCATTGCACGAGAAGAGTGGGCTGCGGCAAAGGATCGGAATGCTTGTGTGGATGTAATTTTCATAGATCTAAGTAAAGCCTTTGATAAGGTTTCACACTCTGGTCTTAAATTCAAACTGAAACGTTTTGGAATCCATAACACAGTCGTCGATTGGATAAGTAACTTTCTCCATGACAGGAGACAAAGGGTAAGGGTTAATGGGGCTCTCTCCTCGTGGGTACCTGTAAAAAGTGGGGTTCCCCAAGGCACAATCCTAGGTCCTCTTCTCTTTTTACTTTATGTAAATGAATTGCCAACTGTAGCAAAATCATCCGTTCTACTCTTCGCTGATGACATAAAGATTTGGAGACCCATACATAGTATGTCGGATAGAATAGTATTACAGGACGATCTTAGCTCATTGGTGGCATGGTTAGACAGGTGGTCACTAGAAGTAAATCCTAATAAGAGTGTAGTGATGCAGTTAAATAACTCAGATGAATCGTATGACTATACACTACGTGGATTCGTGCTACCCAAAGCAAGAAACTATAAAGACTTAGGAGTTATATTAAGCAATGATCTCAAAACGACTAGTCACTGTAAGGCTACTGCTGCAAAAGGCTATAGGGTATTATGGTCAATTCGTAGGTCTTTCCAGTATTTAGATGATGAAATGTTTGGATTACTATACCCGATTTATGTGCGACCACATTTAGAATACGGGATTCAAGCAGCGAGTCCTTGTTTCAAATATGAAGCAGATATGCTAGAAAGAGTCCAACGACGAGCTACTAAGATGGTACAAGGTCTAGCTGGCCTATCTTATGAAGACAGACTGAGACACCTTAACTTATTTCCGTTATCTTACCGTAGAGTACGGGGTGATCTAATATTGGCTTATCGTATACTGAACGATGACCTTGGTATTAACAGGTCTTATCTTTTGCTTCCGTCTAGAACCGATCATTTGAGAGGACATTCGAAGAAAGTTCAAAAACCGAGGTCAAACCGTTTACGTCTGGAGTTCCGTTTCTCGCACCGAGTAGTGAATTACTGGAATTCCCTACCGGAACACGTAATATCAGCACCGTCTGTTAGTATATTCAAAACGAGATTGGACCTCCACAGTATTACAAACTGCAAGGATTAATATAGGTCGACAGACCTCCTATCCTTATTACTGAAGACTGAAGACTGAAGTCTGAATTTTATTGGGTATTGAATAACCTTGGATCTTAAGTAGCTCTTTCAATCCGTAGGTCACTCTCATGTCGCAGGTTTACTGTACATAGTTGACATCCAAGTGGATTTCACAGTTGATTCTCATTGCGTAAGTGATTGATTGTTCGACTTCCTTATCAACATCGTATTTTGGTAAACTGATGTAACTGTTATCCGGACATCTCAGTGTTTCTAATAAATTATCTTAGTTCCCAATTTCCCTATTTTGGGGGAAATGTTGTGAGGTTTTGGTAAATTTTGAGCCAATCGCTTTAAAAAGCTCTAAGGAACAAACGCAAAACCCCCTAAATTCCCTCAGGCCTGGGAAAAATTCCCGAAGTTTCGGGGGGAATTTTCTGGTTTCTCCTCAAAATTTCCACATAATCTTATAACACCTTGGGGTTTCCTTCAAACTTAGTAGAAAACTTCCATATTTTTCACGAATTTTGGGAACACCTCAATATAGTGAGATTAGGTCAATATGTTTCGTGATTTAGTCTGATCGTTACCTAACTACTGTTAACTTTATTAGTTTTGAATACTTTGGTGACATTAGAATTAACTCTAGTTTATATATAGGTTGAAGTTTGTCTAGTCATGCACCAATATCCATTTTTTTCTGGAGTCGAAGTTAACATGACTGGCTGCTGAATCACATTCTGAAAATACTTCAAGTTGTTACTTTAACTGTGTTTTTATTCCTCTTTCAGATATAATTTCATCGTAGGCCTTAATTGAATGAAAAATGTCATGCGTAAACTAATTTTTATATATCTTTCCTGAAGTAGTATGACCGTAGTAATATGCCATACTAGTCTGTTGTGCTCAGTAGTCTGAGCAGGGGTTGAACTTTTACCGGGAGGTTCACTTGTTGACTTAGAATATGCAGATGACATAGTTTTATTTGGTGAAGACGCTGACAAAATGCAGTCTTCTGATCACTCTAAGTAACAATGCAAGCATGTTCGGGATGCGATTCTCTCCCTCGAAATGCAAAATGTTACTTCAGGATTGGGTTACATCGACACCCAAACTAGTGATAGGGAGTGAAGTAGTTGAGTGTGTCGACCGCTTCACTTATCTTGGAAGTCTCATCAGCCCTTGTGGTTTGGTATGTGACAAAATCTCAGCACGGATACAGAAGGCTCGACTAGCTTTTGCCAACTTGCGTCATTTATGGCGTAGGCGAGATATCCGTCTATCAACCAAAGGACGTGTTTACTGCTCTCTGTGTTCTCCCAAATTCTAATCTTCTGAATTCTTCATGTCCTTTTTTTTCCTCTTTCCAAATTTGTTTCACTGGATTATACTCTTTAAATAACATCTCCAAACCCTAATCTTCCCGATTACTGCTTATACTCTTGCTACCTCTACCACTACGGGATTTGAATCGACAACTGCATCTCTGTACTAATGTGGTGTGGCAACTCGAACTGATGTACATACGTACGAAGTTCTACGTTGTTACTGACTGACTGACTGACTGCTCAGCAGACTTTCGAAGTCAATAGATAAAACTCAATAACGTGCTAATACGTTTGTTTCAAAGTATGATTGAAGCAGATGCGTACACATAAACAAGATAATCTCAACTCTGATCATAAGATCGCAAAAAAAAGTTGACCTTCATTTAGAGCAGTTGACTAATGAAGCTCTTAAAATATATCAGTTCAGGCTCAGGTTCCAGTTTCGATCTACCACAAAAGATGTACATTTTTGGTATACTATCTACCATTAAGCCAACTTTAACGCTCTTAAACTAAAAATACGACAGTTTCATCTACTAATTAACAACCAAGTAGATCCGCATTAACTATCAACGTTGGATTGAATAGAACAAGCAAAGTTATCAGTTTAGGACATGTCTTCGTGTTATGCAAGATGTAGGGAACCGGGATTCTTCGATCGATTATGACTTTCTAATTGAGGTCTCAATGACCGTACCAGTCGGTGGCTTGAGACCCTATTAAAATTGAATAGAAGCCATTACATTATTAATAAAAGTGAAGTAACCTTCCTTGGGTTGAGTAATCCTTTCTTGTCTGTACTTTTAACAACTGTATTTCCTATAATTTTATTCATTCATTCATTCTTTGTGCAGCCTTTCCGTTAATCATCTCTTTAGAATACTACTACTTTGTTTGCTAGGTGTAATTTTTACTGGCTTACGCTACAATTTACTGGCTTATTTGTAGATAAAAATAATTACTTAGAAACACTTCTCACGCTTATACACAAATTATTTTTTAAAATTTATCACAGTCAACACATACAATTGTATGGGATTTCGACTTAACATAAACTAAGATATTTCGGGAATACTGAGTTTTTATAAAGTTTTCTCATCTAGTGTCTACGTACGATTCTTTTTTTTGCTCATCATAGCGCTAGTATGCTCTGATTGATATTTTACTCTCTATATTTTCAAATTAGCGGAATATTTGTCATTAAATGTAAAGGATAACTGATATTTTCTCACCAACTGTGTTTAATTGGTGATTGCTTATTATTAATAGTGACCTAAAAGTAACGGAAATCTTTGTATCTTATAGGTTTCCATACTGGGTTATTTTATATTCATTTTAAGATTTGCTACTTTGTCTTAATTAATTTTTCTGTTGCTTCATTACTTTTTAGCAGAACACTTCTACAAAACGTACTGGACGTCTTTGTGTTAGCTCAGTTGCAAAAAATGCCTATCGAGTTCAGTGTTTTAGAACATGCAGGATAATCAAAGTCTTCGTATTCCTTATTATCGTCTACATCCTGGACGTAACAGATTTTGTTGTCATGGCAGAGGGGTCTTTTCCCGGGATATGTGTATATTCACTATTACCCTCCTTTTAATTATCTCAGTTACAGTTCTCTTCTTTGCTTTTGACTGCCGTTTTTTAACCCCCATCTTAACTCCTGCTGTTCCTATTTTAGCAGCGATCCAGTTCCTATATGTTGTTACTGCATTTCTTCGTACAGCATTCACAGATCCAGGAATTATACCACGGGCTACACGTCCTGAAGTAGAATGGACTGAACTGTCAATTAGTAAGCTTACTAGTCTAATCTATGTTCCTTTAATAGTCTATATATATAAATTTATTAATCTTAACTCCAACTTAGTTCCACTCTTTCTTAATTTTGTCCCAAGTATCGTTTCTGTAAAATATTTAACACTATTAAGGTCTTAATTTTTGAAAAAAATAGTTTGACTTGAGAAGGCGCAAATATTTCATCAATCACACTCAAGTGAAGTTATAGTTTGCTTTCTTACGGCATCTGCCAACACGCATATAATAATGCACTTCTCATTCCTTTTGCGTGTTTTTTTAAATTTCTATATACTATATCGCTGGAGATAAAAGTTCCTGAAACTCTAACTGATTACATTTGATCAGTAATCTGCCTTAACTTAGAGCGTCCATTTTCACATTTTTGATTTAGTGTGTACACGTTCCCTGTTGTGCGTTAATTACTAGAGTTAACCTTATTCTTCTTCAATCATACTAAGACTTATCAACAAATGAACATTGTGTTATGTTTTTCACTCCGAGTTTGTTAATAATATACAAGCTTCATGTACGGACGCCCAATCTGCCACTTGATTGAGATCAACAATTAGTAGGAAATTTTTATCAGTTAACCGAGTTAAAAATATACGCACAACGTATTCATAACCACATCTGTCTCTCCCAAAAAATGAAGCCGGGTTTTTAACCACTAATGTATTTCTGTTTCTTCAGAAAACTAAACCAAATCTCGACCATTGGTGTCTTTCCGTTAGCATCCTCCACTTATCTTTTGGTCTACGTTTTTTTTTGCTTAGCGTATCACCATGTCATTTTACTACCCCACTAATATTCATATTTGATTTGCTTACACTCCCAAGTTAGATGAACTTATTTGCGATTTCTTTATGACATGAAAATTTCTTAAATATAATGATGGGTTCCTATATTCTAGCATCGTCAAATAATAATTTTATGTCGTGAACATATGACATTAATCAGTCTAAAATAAAAGTGATCTGGTTATTGAGATAGCGAGGTTGTTTGAAAAAGTTATCCCTCGCAGCATGAGTCAAATAGTCGTGAGATATTTCATCTACATATTTATGCGATCTATAAAACTCTTTGTCGCCGATCCCTAATTACTAATATCGGTCGTCATTATAAACCTTGTGTTGAATAAAAATTTGAATGCTGTAATTTCTTTTTTTAACTAGATACTGGAGATGTATCTGTAAATGACTCGAATAACAAAAGTGAGCATGATGTAAATGCAGTTCGAACTTATCCACCCGGTGCCAGAACACGTCAAATTCTAATTGGAGATCATCTAGTCAAAATTAATTATTGTCATAGTTGTCGAATTTTCCGTCCACCAAGAGCGTCACATTGCTCTTCGTGTGATAATTGTGTTGGTAAGTCGCTTTGAAAAACGTTTAATATCATGTTTCTCGTTTTTGTATTCTCGGGCAAGATAATTTACGGATTAGAAATTCTGTTTGAAGTACTGCACGCTGTTTTAATATTGAGGGTAATCGTAATTTATTGATTTAGGCAGTTTATTTGTCAACTACTAGAAAATAATCCACAATCCTATCTTCAGATTTAACATGATAGGTATAATTCTCAGTCTTGTACCAAGTCTACGCCTGGTTTCCTTTCTACTAATTTTGCTTAGTTATTATAGATTACTCACTTTATGTTACTAATTTATACAAATGCAGTTTTCTACATCGTTACAATCCAGAGTATGATTATTACAACGTTATTCCATCAGAAAAATTGAACTTCCACACCAAGAAATATGTTTAAAGATTTTTATTTTCATTCTGATTTACAGATTTTTTAGATTTATCTCGTTTACAGATTGTTTTAGCCGTAAGTTGTCATTATTAGTCTGTAATGTGTGTACCACTGAAGAAACTCATCAATACCATGTGTGTCATCCAAAGAATTTTTCGATCCATAATGTATGGTTTGCAAATGATCGATCAAAGCCAAATTTGTAATCTGAAGGTTACTTTCCAACCAAAGTTTTTTAGTTTGTCTCAAAGAAAATGATGACCTTTGTAATTCTGCCTAGTTCACTAAATTGTAAATCATTCTGCTAGAACTTTTAGCTCACCTTTTAAATATATTATGACTATTTAAACTATAAAACTACATGGATCGATCAATCCGACTGTAACCAAACGGTGTTATTTAATGCTCACATCCGTTGTTACTGTTCTACCATGAAGATATTTAGATAGAGTTATTTTTTAAAAATGTAGTGATCTTTATCTAGTAAGAACATTTTAGTTCTTATTGTAGCTAAAGGATGAATGCTGTTCTAAAATTGACATTTAACCAGCTGTGTTAATTTACATCACGTGTAAGGTGACAATGATTGCTACATATTATTAAAAGCGGAGTGCTTTAGACATATAGTTTATTTTATTCCTGCACACATGGAGTTGAACTCTTGATTTTCAGAGAGTTTAACAAACACATTGATTCAATATATTTTCTTGACGTGGTGGTCAACTCTATAAAAGTACCAAATAGAATGATGTTAAAAACAAATATATTGGCGTTTTGTTAGTAATCATACTAGTGATTTTCATTCATTTCACATAGTATATTTATCCACCAGCTTCTTTCACAGTACCCCTCCTTAGTTTAAATAATAGTGATATAATAGTATATCTTAGGGTGATGCATATAAAACACATGCCCCCATACTCTTCATTCGTCGTCAATTTTGTGTACTGTGTTTTAAGCCATAGCCCCTGAATGTCCTAGTACGGCTGGGGGTGGGGAGTGTCAGTGCTCATGGGCTTCATGATCCTGAAGGAACAAATGGCGTATGAACCAATTATTGGTCATTGGCTACCATGGGACTGCATCTCCTTACGATGCTCCACTGCCTTGTGGATCAAACCTTTAGGTCGAAGACTCGGGGAGTGGCCCCCTAAGAAAACCACCTGCTTCAGTCTGAGCACAGCCTACATACAAATCAAGTGACTTGTGTGACGCATATGTATTTGGTCCCCCTTTTTACCAATGTTTATGTGTTCAAGTAAATAACTTAATTAATTAATAAGGCATATCTTGTGTAGTGCAAAATTTTATAAAACTACCCCACTTATCTTGGAATCTGTATCCCAAATCTGCCGAGTTACATATGTGCTTCCGATATTATATTGATTGAGTTGAGCGTGAGACTTTCAAAAAGCGACAATCAGTATAAGATCTATCATAAAAGTCCATCTTCTTAAGTTTCCACACCAACTCCGCATAATGAAGTAACTACTGTCATGTGTTTTTAGTTCCCCCCTATATTGTCTGTCGGAAAGTACAAGTCGCATTTCGATTGGCGAATAAATCACGTAATCATTAGCCGGGCTTAAAGTCACTTAGACCTATAAAGATTGATTGATAGTCTGTTTGAATAGATGTTGGACTTTCAAACCAAAAATCTTTATGGTAATAAAATTTTTTATAATTGCACATTTTTGCATTTCTTTTTTGAATCCTTGTAGAACGTTTTGATCATCATTGTCCATGGATTGGAAATTGCGTTGGCCAAAGAAACTATCGTTATTTTATATTGTTCATATATTCCCTGAGTATCTATTGTCTTTATATTTTAGTATTTTCAATAGTCAATTTAATTTTATGTAAGTAATTTACATATATACAAAATTTTGAATTTCATTATGATCACAAATGATTTGCTGGAGTAAACTAATTCCTAGATAGTTTTTTTGCCCTAGTGTGGGACTGCTTAGCAGTCGATGTTTTTGATCTCACGTAGGATCGAACCCATGACCTTTAGGTCTCCCAACAACTTCTTAGCCTTTATATCATTGGACCGGCATTCAATAGTTTACATACTGAACTTCACCTGATTCGCTATATTGCCCAATCATCTCCCAATATCATTGGTAGGAAGTGCCTCACACTTGACATAGCTGAACTCCACTAGTCATGGCTTCTCATTATGGTTTCTAAAGTTACCTCCTGAAATTGGCCACTAGTGAGCACATGATAATTATCAGTGTAAGAGTTTTGTAGAGATTGTTCAATTTTTTGGTTCGCATGATAGACCGACTTCAATAAGGGAGTCATTAAAAACCAAGAAGCATTGGATCTTTGTATACCGTCTCAGTAGTCTAAAGGTTAAGCACTCATTGCCAGACTTAAGGATCCTGGGTTTGATCCATAGTGGGGTTATGGATGCTCACTGCTGGGGGCCCCGCACTTTATTACTTATCAGCTGTCCGGTTCTTCCTGGTTTTCAACAGCTGTATAATTAACGTCAATTCGTGTTGTAAACTAAAATTCAACGATATTCTCAAACCTTCTGTACTAATAATATTCTCTAGATTATGACACTTATACTCTATTTTGTCATTAATTAGATTTTAATAGCATTTTGTCTCCTTATTGGAATTGTTGCTTTATCATTGAAGTACTCTGACGTATGAACAGTTGGTCGTAAACTGAAACTTCCCTACATCTATTTCAGTTTAGCCGGCTAATTATTATTTCTCGTTAGTCTTTTAAATAATGTAGATTTAGGTCATATACATAAGCTTATGTGTACCCTTAGTAAAGGGGTTTAACTATCATATTACATAATACATAAGGTACTGTCCATTATTGCCGATATATTGGTTTTGTTTCTTTGATGAGGAGTTTTACCGTCTTCTTAAATTTAGCCACTGTCTTTCTCTTGTTCCGTTCAACTCGTCTGTGTTTTGAAGGAGAAGATAATCCATTTTTTTCTATTTTAATATGTGTTTACTCATCAGTGGAAAATGTTCGGAGAAATTTGTGTTTTTCTCATAATAACCTTATTGGAGAAATACTTTCTAAGCTGAAATTTTTCTTTAAAGTTCAAAACCTTTTTATTTTTTCACGATACTTTTATAAAAATTATGTTTTTATTTTGTCAACTATTGATTGAATTTTTTGGATTCCAAACGTTATGATTTATTGATTATTAGTTAAATTGGATTCACGGAATGTATCTGTTTATTTGCTTTTTTATTGAGATCATGAACCGGTTACAGTTAGACAACCACCGGAAACACTAGGTCTTGGTGTAGTATGACTCGGTTGTCTAACCTTCTACATCATTGGATCTCGGCCTAGTGTTTTGAAGACTAGGCATGCTCACTTGAGACGAAAGGTCTTGGGTTCGATCCGTGGTAGTAGAGTCATGAATGTACGCTTTCAAGCGGTCCTATACTAGGAAGAAACAGCTGTCCAGTGCTTCCAGGTTTTCAATGGTTGCCTAACTTAAATCGTCTTGTGATCCCAATAGAACTCAATAATCTCTACAACATCCGTATTTATTTTTGTTTGGTTTATTTAACTGCCATCTATTTACTTCATATTTATTCTGGTAGATTTGTTTAATTTATTCAATTAGTATCTTTAGGGAATATCTACTTTTTGATTTATTGTTTTATGTAAAATGGATTTAGATTCGGTTCGTGAATTATTCTTCATGATATTTCTATAGTTATTTATCTATTTATTCAACTCATTTGTCAGCTACACCTTTATGTACTTAACCTAAAGCTACACCCTGTGTGAGGGTTTTTATCCTATCCGGTTACCCACACCGAAGTAGGTGGGTAGGGATTAAAACCAACAACTCAGTAGCTGCGAGTCGAACACCCTAATCACTACCGAGCCATAACTTCATTATGAATTTGTTTGGAGTTGGTTAACGAGAAAATATATAATCATCCTTAAAGTTCTATTGTGTGTATTTACTCACAAATTCATCAATGTTTTTGTAATGATTCAGTATTATTGTACTCTTATATGATTCCAAATAGTCTTGGAAATGTAAGTTTTGAAATCGATAATTATTAATTCATAGCAATTATGTTAGTTGTTGTGACTCGTCGATTTTAGTCAAATCAGTAGTAGTGTGGTGAGTGCTATTCATGCTGACAGATATAAGTAATATGTAGCCGTCATTGGAAATGAAATACCTGGCAGCAGAAGATTAAATTAAAGATAACAGAAAGGAGATTAAAGAGCAATCAATAATAATTGAATAATTTTATAGGTAAAGGACAACGCAAAGAAGATGTAAGCCACTGTGTAATTTCGCATTATACCATAAATTGGTTTACCCTATAAGTCTTCGTTCGGTGCAGTAGTAGTATTAGTATTACAAAGAAAAAAAATTAAGAAATAGTAAAACAACTACACCAAGAAATCGACTAAAAATAATCCATTATTATCGTCATAATAATTAAGGAATATATGTTAGTCAAAATATCAACAAAATCTTCCCATTTCCATACGTTTTCAATCTACAGTTCAAAATGAATTATATTCGTTTATTTTCGATAGTTGTTCGGCAAACAAAAGAGGAACTGTACGGAAAACACCAGCTATTATTGAATAAGAACAGTCATATATTATTTGTGTGTATGTATAGCTTGAAATGAAATTCACTATTTGACTTTAATCACAGACTAACATCAGCTGTCAAGCCATTGACAACTGGTGACGATCAATCACATCGGTTAGTCAGTCATAATCAATGTAGAGGCTGGAAAATAAGCATGCTTACCTGAGCTGCCATACCGGCTCAACACGATGAAATGAAATTAACAATGTGATTAGCTTGGACGTCGAAATAAAATAGTGATAATAATGACTCGAAATATTGAACGTTGTGAATATTTTTCGGAAGGACTGAATGAAAAGGTTTGCCGAAGGAATACTGGCAATCAAGATCCAAAGTAAAACAAAAAGTGAGTGGATCTGCTCCATTGTGACAGACTACTAACCATATCTCCCAGTCTTCAATCACTAATAGCGTTTACTGCACAGATCCCAATTAGGAAGTTTACATTTATCAACATAACTCAGACGTACAGTCAGTTGTCCTTTGGTTTGTTGGCTATGATGTCACTCTATGGTAGTCAGACTCTATCTCAAGTTAACTAAAATTAGAATTGCGGATAATTATGTTTCAACTTAGTTGCTTATCAGTATATTAATGGTTGCCATATTTCTAGTTCCTGTATTCAACCTTTGATGAAATGATAAATCTCAAACGAGATCTAATCTTTCTTTTTTAATAAAATTTTCAGCTTATTTGTCGCTCCATATTTGTAAGAAACTATTCACAAATTGTAGCCCTTTTTTGTAAAATCCTTTTAACTCTTCATGGTACAACTGTTCATATTTTCTTTGTTTAATCCTCTTATTTTTTATTATAGCCCTAGTCTCAGTTTATTTAATGTCTTTAGCCATTAATTTGTTCTTTATTGAACCTTTTATCATTTCCACGAAAATATAGTCAACAATATTCTCGAATTGTTCAGTCTTCAGATAATTAAAATAACCCATAGTGTCGCTGAATAAGAAACAGAATTCAGCGACGAAAATTTTCTTTTCAACGAAATCATTTACTCAATTCGTACATTCGTATATATAGTTATATGAAAAATAGATGTCTATAGAAGGATACAAAAGATTGCATCATACAAATGGATTCGAGACTAAATAACAAATGAGGTTACGTTCTAATCAAGGGGTAAGGAAGGAAATCGTTTATGGGTCAGATAATAGTCCAATTGACAAATATGAAGAAAAGCGACAAACACAAAGGTCATAATAATAGACTGAATAATAATCAAATATTGGGTTTAGGTAAACCATATGGATTCGAGAGAACTGAACCCGAAGGTTTTAGTATATTAAACTTTTCATTGTTTATGACGTTCATTTTAAGAAGCTTTAATAGATTGGACTTCACTCTGGATTCCAATTTTCTAACATTAATATCAAATGAAGCGTCCTGCAAGAATTTACTCTGATCACCCAGTATAAATAACATTTTTCTTTATAGTCACATTTATTGATAACGACCACCCGTGAACCTTTGTCAGGTCTGAGGATCACAATATCTGACCTACTCTAGAGGTTTTTTAATGCGGCGAAATGTTTAGAAGTTAAAATACTCCTTTGTCTGATTTGAGAACTGTGAAAGTGGTAGGCAACGTCAACCAATTTTTCCTATCTAGGGTGGTTGGGACAAGAGGGTTCAACTGATCATAGAGATTTTCAAATTGAGCATCTATCGACAGATCAGAAATCTTGGTATGTGCAACGGAGAAATTAAATCCGAGTGATAGGGCTTCCTTCTCAAATACAGAAAGCCTAACATTTGATAAATGTGATACATATTTATCAGGGTTAAATTGAAATGAATTTCCATCATTATCATCCATAAGAGATTTACTCAACTTTTGTTTGGTAGTATAATTTGTTTTAGCAACCATTGTACTGCAAAAGTTCATGAATTTAATATGACATATATAAGAGAGACATTCGATAATACTCATGATGCCTGAGTATGAAGTTCAATTAGTTTATTTATCACATCATTGCATTTTTCTTTATGAGATTTCGCAAGCCGCAAAAGATTAGAAACATTTGGATGCAACTTATTTGATCGTAAGGATTTATAAAACTGTCTTGGAAATGTGTGTGTAATAATGCAGGTCTTGTAAAACTCCAGTTTTACCTTTTCAGATGCAATTTTGCACTTCAGATTAGCAAGTTCATCTAACCGTTTGATGCAAGACGGAGGGAGTCTTCTTTTCAAAGATTTAAAGCAATTAGTCCCTTTTATAAATTTCGATAGAACAATGAGAAGACGGAGTTTATCTGAAAAATGTGATGTATTTGAGCTATACATTTCGAACAATCTGGTCACACATATACTTGTCAAAACATTTTTATATGAAAATTAATAAAGGTCAATTAAATGAAAGTTCAAGTAAATTAACAAAGGTGAGAGAAAGAATAAGAAATTGTCGCGTTATCCTAGGCCATAGAATAACTTAAGGATTACCAAGGTAAATTCAAGGTTACGACGGTGTAGCTATGGGTAGCCCTTTGGGGCCTCTCTTGGCTGATGTTTTCATGTCATATGTGGAAAATATGACGAGCGAGCTTATTAGTGAGGCAACTCTAGATAGAAAATACATGGACGATATTCTAATTATGTGATAAGGATTTTGATGTTAACCGATTACTGGATAAACTCAATTTTGTTCAAGATGATATTGTGATGACATATGAATCAGAAAGTAATGACCAATTGGCCTTTTTAGACATACTTTTTAAGTAGAAGGGATGATGGCACTATTAGACATTCAGTGTATAGGAAACAGACTTGGACGGGACAATACTTAAATTTCCAAAAGCTCGCTCGTCATAATAGGGTTTTTCTTCCGTACTGTCGATAGTTTCTCATGATGAATTCTAGGTTTTAAGTTGCTATCGACGAATCTAGGTGGATAAACATTTCTGATGAGAGTTTGTCGAAGTTGAGATAGTTCCCCATCTATTGTGTCAGTGGAACAGACTCGCTTGATCGTAGAGGATAAAGAGTGAATTAAATTCCTCTTTCTACTCAATGGGACCCAACTATGGAAATTCGTGTATTGTCCATTCCAATTAGGTTTTCTATACATAGATATCTGTAAGAAACCGTTTGGCATTCGTTTTAATCGGACATCAAAAAAATGAAATTCATTGTTCGCCTCTGCTTCTAAGGTAAATTGAATTGAGAGGTGACAATTATTGAAACTATTCAAAATTTCATTTAGGTCCATGTCTTCTTCACAAATAATGAAAGTATCATCCATATATCTCTTATATAAATGAAACCGCTCAATTATCGGACGAAGCAGAGAATTTTTCAGATTGGTCATGAAACAATCAGCCAAGAGAGAACCCATTACAACTCCATCTTTTTGTCTTTAGATATCATCATTAAATCTAAATTGCACGTTGAGCGTACATCGTAGAAGTAGTTCTTTAAAATACTGTTTTAAGATACACATATCAAGTTTAAGTAAATAATTTCATCGAAAAGAAAATTCTCTTCACTGAACTCTATTTTTCTTATTCCATATTCACAGTCTATATCTTAACTCATAGAATTATCTTTATTCCTTTCAAATCAATTATTTACATGAACAGTTTCCATGTTGTATGTAATTTAGAAAATAGTTAATAATTTACTTTTCTACCCTTCAATTTATTTTGTTTTGTATGGTAAAATGCTAAGTCATGAAATTTTCAAATGATCATCTATATACGTGTAGATTTTATTCAATAAATTTCATTATAAAACTTTATCATGTGTTTATGATAATAGAAAAAAAGAAGTTTTGCAGTAACGATAATAATAATAGAATTGTACATATACTTACAATATTTTTCTTCTTTTCTTTTGTATCATCCTATTTCGAATGATAAAAGTGTATTACCCTTAGTCCATAGGATAGAAAATTGTCCGTTTTCTAGATTATCACTCTATTTATTTATCATTATTATTATTATCGTCGTCATCATCATCATTTCTATCAAGTTTTCTTTTCGAATTTCATTGAACTATCACGCTTTTTGGGTTTTAATTAGGATCATGAACCGATCAATGTTAGGTCAGTAATGAAAACCTGGAAACACTGAATGGCTGTTTCGTCCTAACATAGGACTCCTTGGTAGTGGCTTGTAGAGTCCAGTCTGTGTTGATTATGAGACAGTTATCTAACCCAGACAATAGATGAAAGGTTGCGCAAGACCATCGATCAACCGCAGTTGGATATTAATACCGTTGGATGCCGGCTCGGTGGTCTAGAGTTTTTAACCGTTTACATGTGAAACCGAAGGTTCTGGGTTCGAGTCCCATATATGGGATTGTGGATGCGCAATGCTGACAAGTCTCATACTAGAACGAAACGGCCGTTAAACAGTGCTTCCAGGTTTTCAGTGGTGGTCTAGCTTAAATTGACTCATGAATTCAACCATGAAAATTACTCAAGTCTCCACAAATTCCAATTCTGATAAATAACCCCAGTGTTGATGTACATATTGAGATACAAACTCGATATCTATTGTTTCAAACATCAACTTGTTAACCACTGATTTATTGAGTTCCAACATAACCATTAATTGTTTACAGTTGATGGCTTAGGTTGTAATGAATTATTATTTCTAAATGTATAAAAATATCACGAAATTGTCCGTTAAACTGAATTTCATTTATCATGGCAGGAATATAATTCATAGACGAATCGATCTGGTTTAAGATAGCAAGTATTTGATTCTGGCGTGAAATTCATGCATCAATACGGCTAAATAGCATTTTAACATCATAACTGATGTCAGTTCGTGATTAAAACTCTAACATTACTTCTTGACCCTAATGTCGAACTGTAAATATTAATCCTGATTTCTCACAATAATTTATAAGCCTAGTTTAACCTCAGTAAGTAGGTCGACATTCTCAATATCACTTAAGTATCTCTCAAATGTTGTCCACAAGTTATAGTTTTACCCTTATTACCACCAGTATAGATGGATAAGTGTTACAATATTTCAGAAGAATAGTATGTATGTATAACCCGATCGTTGTTGCTACCTTGACGTGTGGTGGTCGGGCTTGCCTATCGTGATGAAGCAACCGAGCTATACTGGCTGGAACAACCGTTCCTCAAGGTCCTACCATATCAGACAGGTCGGTTGAAGAGCGGTAAGACTAAAAGCAACAAACCTAAGGTCCGAAAGGCGAAGTCGTACTGCTGACTGTACAGAGGTGCGACAGCAGTAAGGTGTTTCCTTCAGACAACCAGCATGACAGTGATTCTGTCTTCCCACAAGGAGGAGTGGGGTTAGAAACGGTCGACCCTAAAGATGCACACCCCGCCTTACCCCACGGATATCCGTCTCCGGCGTTAAGGTCTCAACAAGTACGGAGCTAACACAAAAATTACCCATAAAAAGGTCGTGTGTGACCGACCTCAAGCAGTTGTCCCTTGGGCACTGCGGTCACGCTCTCAGGTCACTAAGACCACCTCTAATCCAATTTCCTTTTCAGGTACCTCCAGAAGAACCCTTCCACGGTGTGGGCGACCGGGAATTGATAACCGCCCTCATACCTCTAACAGCACTCAAGACTTAACTGACTGTATGTATAAAGGTTTAAAATTAAGTTAGAATGTGCATGTATCTGCCCTTTCCAGTATTGGAATTGATTCTCAACAAGACGTTATTCAATCATTGTTTTTAATCGTATGTTCATTACAATTGGGGAGTTTCCCATTTTAGATTCAACTTTAATTCAACAACTATTAACTACATTCAAGTATGTCAATAGATTCATAGTTCACTTCATTTCAAAGCGGATAACTGAACTCACAGAACTACTGCCTATCTTTTTTGTCAATGATCATAAATTGACTAACTGGTAGCATCTCAAACTGTAAAGTTGAATATCACCTGTTTGGGTCATACAATAGATACCAATTCCTGCAAAATTACAAATACACTTTCTTAACAAATGTAAAACAGCAAGAAACATTAGGTTCAGGATTTCTTGTCCATTACCTCCAACTACCTAACATTAAAACAGTGCCAAGTCATTTAGATAAATTACAAATTGTTCGATAGAATTCAACCAGTACTAAGGGTCTAGACAAACAAAGCAATAAACGATACTTAGTTACTGATTAGTATAAGTATTTCATGCGTTGTGAAGAAATTTCAGCTATTAAACTAAACTCCACAACCCCTATACTGATAATGGTTAATATATGATACGCAATAAACTGACTGGATCAGTAGTTAACACCTAATCGTTAAATCGAGTTGTTAGTGACGTAATATTTATAAACATTGAAGAGAAAAAAAATCATTTCATTTCGAGCATAAACAATTGTAGACTACGAGTTACGCTAATACGCTAATAAACTTAATGATCTAATTATTGGTGCTAATCAATTGAATTTTTCATTAAATATTCACATTACTATTATTATTATCATTAAACTGTCAATTATTGGTTTTTATTTGTATATTATTTAGTCGAATATTATGATTGTTATTTTCTTTCCCAAACTAAATTTCTTCATTTTATCTACTGAATTATTTACGTAAATCTAACAATGATGATGATTGTTGGCGATGATGATGGTGGTTAATGATGATTGTCGTCAATATACGGATGAATATTATTGTTATTATGAATAGTATACGAAAAGTATGAAGATATTATAATGGCTATCAAGATTTCTCCCGCTTCATATCCTTTTCATGTGATTTTTGATAATAAAGTGTTGATGTTATTATAATTATTTTCTTTGTGTTTTGTTTGTTTGTGTATGATTGATTAGCTGGTTATATTGTAAACATTTTTCAAAGCAATAGATTTAGAAAAAGTGTTATGTAAAATCAGTTTATATTCTTGGAATATATTTCATCTTGTTTCGAACTTGTTAGTCTAGTGTAACTCCATTTTCGTGTTGATACTTACATTGTGATTCGCGAATCCTTTACCTCCTAAACACATCAAACATCAATGCCTTATCTATTAAGTCAATAAGTTCAGATCATTAGTAATTGGAGGAGTTTCCATTGCATACTCTCATAATTTGAGCAATAGTTACAGACGCTGATATCTTTAAATAGTCATTTTATCATAATATTAAACTTTTCATTAGTAGTTTATAAGCTTGACTTTTAAATAAAATCAAATTCAAGAGTCTGACATCCGTCGAACTTTAACTTAGATTTCGTCAATCAGGCATAACAAAGTTCGATCAAGTTACGTGATATTTAAGTGGTTTTTCGATATAATTATCTTTCTCTAAACATCATGTTATTACAGGTTTCTAAATTCATAGCCTGCTGTTGGATCTTGCGACAGTTTATTTTATTGGAATGATTTACATATAAGTGCTAAACGGTTATCATTACTAAATAAATAATATGTTTACAAACAACTCATTAAAATCAATAATTAGTCGATTTGAAGAAATTAAAATGATAAATTATTGGATTAAGTACTCAGATTTCAACTGATAAGTTACAGGTTCAAACCTAGTCCGAGCTTTTTTTCTTTAGACAGTGAACCTGGAACAATACGCTTCACACACACACACGTAAACGATATAGGTCAAAGTACGTAAACCTGTCCTCAATAAATGGAGTATACATTATAATATAGAATGTCAATAAATTGCCTCAGCTATATACCCTTTGAAATAGCCATAATATAAGTCAAACAGTTAGACTGTAGAACCTGTTGGCTATGTACACCGGTTCAAGTTGCCATACCCCATTAGCACAGAGGTCATATTGTCGGTCCAAATCTCAGAATAGTAGAGGCAGTATCAGTGGCAATAAGAAAGACTAGGCATCGAAGATACAACTCGAAAAGAAAATATAAATTAGTGAAACAAAAACGAGAAGAAAGTTGTGAGGATTTTAGAATGTCAGAATTCGGGGAAGATAACAAGTGAATGCACCTGAGCCAATGCAAACAGTTTGGAGCTACGTCATTCAAAGTCTCTAACCATTGGTTACGATAATCATACGGACCCTAAGCAAGTAGTCTGTACGTGCTACCATTGCTGAGTTCAATTTTCAGTGACTCCATAAATCGATGCCATGTTCCAGTTTATCCGCCAAAATATGTAGAATTCATATTAGAATAAACAGTAAATTAATGCACGATCTTGAAATGGTGATCGTACTCACATATTAAGATGACCCAATCGAGCTGTATTAGTTGCAACATTTGTTTCGTTAGGTCCTACCATGCAAGACAAGTTGGTTGGAGAACAGTATGACTGAAAGTGTTAATTTAAGGTGTGTGGGAAAGGTCGTGCTCCCGACTGTGTATGGGCGTGAGTGTATGTTGTTTCCCTCCAACATCTAACGTCAGCTACAATGCTGTCTTCTCATTGCAGAACGTAAGGATTAGAAAAGAATGACCCTAATAACTGTCCCATAGATTTCTGTCATCGCCAATAAGTCGTTTAAGGTGTAGATTTGATACGTTACGAGCTACTCACAGAAATGGTTTGTATGATTGGCCTCAAATAGCTGTTCGTAGATCTCTACAATCATGCTATCAGGTCTTCAACACCACTTCTGGTCTAGATTTTTTCCAGAAAATCCAATAAAAGTTATCCCTTTACGGTTTGAGTGTAACCCAGTCGTTGCCTTAAACAAGATTAAGAAATTGATGAAACCTACTTGGAAAATAAGAACATACAAAAAACTCAGTTAATCCTAAATGTATTTGTCAGTTTTCTTAAAACAATGTTTCGGTATTCAAAGTACAACAAACAGTAAGTCCTTATATTTGCTTTAAGCAACGATTACCTTATCAATTATGAATTTAAACCAGTAATCAGCCTCATTGAAACACATCTTAAATTTATTTTAAACTTCTCTGAATCAGATTAAAGCAGAATATCAGAATGGATTTTGTGGAGATTTTAAAAATTTCACTGTTTGAAATCATGAGTCAATTGAACCTAGACCACCAGTGAGCTAAAGACAATGGTGTATAGTAGAGCAACTTCGTGGATTGGTTGAAGTTAGACATTAACACCGTTGGATGCCGGCTCAGTGGTCTAGTTGGTTAAGCGCCTGGCGCGAGACTGATAGGTCCTGGTTTCGAGTCTCGCGGGGTGCGGGATCGTGGATGCGCACTGCTGAGAAGTCCCATACTAGGACGAAACGGCCGTCCAGTGGTTCCAGGTTTTCCATGGTGGTCTAGCTTCAATTGACTCATGATTACAATCAGTAAAACAATAGTTTTTCATCTCTTATTAATTCTCTTTAAATCCCAGTTGATTTACTGTTAAAAATTGACTTCGGATTAATAATGAATACTTTTCACAGATTGATTTATCAACATTCACTAAATCTTTTCTCAGTTTCTTTTATAAATATTGATTGATTAGCTATAAAATACCTTAATTAAATCATCTTATCTTTATCCTTATCGTCATCATCATTATAATTACTAATGGATCGAATATATCAATCGATTGGGTTTTTTCTTTCTGATTTGCTATTGTCGATTTTCATCATACACAATAATTGATATATTGATCACTTTCTCTGCAATGTGGACAGTATTCGGTTTATCAGGTTATCATACATCATTAGTATGTCGAGGATTTTCAACTCATGAAGATGTAAGTTGATTTTTATATTACTAAAACGTTTTATATATTTTATGAGTGTATTTTTGTTAGTTTCAAGATAGTATGTTGTTGGCTTGGAATAATTAACTGTGAATCGGATGTATGATGATGATGGTAATACATTTATATATCTAAATTGATTATTGAGTTCTAATTCATATCACCTGTCTAGTCTTTCGATTTTTGGATTGTATAGTATACTGATTTAATTAGAGAGAGGGAGAAAGAGATAACTATGCTGTTAAACGAATAGAGTGAATAAGAACTCAATGTTTTTACTACTTGAGAAGATCTTGATACAAAACCTTAAAATTATTTCACTGAGTCAACTGGGATTTATGATTCTTTGTACATGATGTTCAAGCTGTGTCATTCATGCAGTCAGTAAGTTATAAACACCTTAGAACTTAACATAAATGTGTATCAGCTCAAGTTCTCATACTGCGTTAATACGAATAGGTGAATTTATCAAGTTGAATATCGAAGTAGTAATAGTGAAAGTATCAGTTATATTAAAAACTAGTAGTCATGAAAAGTATAATTTAAGAAGAAGAAGTTAACTTGCAGAATAAAAATCATGAAATATTAAAACACAGGATCTAGTGGTAGACAAAGATAGTATTAACCTACCAGTGTAACTCAGACTAATGAGTTCATGCACTACTCTCACTTCTTGATTACCAGCTAATTGATTTTTTACAAATTTAATTCGTTCATTGCATTATATATCCAAAAAACTATTTTGATCTAGGTAATCACTTCTTATCACGTCCGACAAGCGTTTGGTTATACTGACGTGTATATGATTACTAATTTGAAGCTAAAGTTTGTTTTCATTATCAACTGACGATATGATAAAGCATCTCTATGGACAGTTGTTTTGTTATTTCAATTAATCAATAAACAGCTCACTGAGATACGGAATCGAACTCACACGGTAGGACATAGAAACCTACCAGTTACCAATGAGGTCGATTCTGAGCCGTGTCATCCAATATCCTCCAGCCTTTTGATACAGTCATCGTGCGGACTTCTACCTGGTAATCTGTATATACTAACATTATTCAGTTCGACTGTCAGTAACTTCATGAACTGATACGACATTTTGATTTGGTCATTAGTATCTTTCTTTCAACCTACTCCTACACACCAACAAACATTACGTGTTTCCATACTTTGTAGTTGAGCGTATTTAATATATAATACAGCTATCTCAGTCAATGGATATGAACGTTCCATCATCAATCTATTCACCATCTTTAAGAAAAAGAGAATTCAGCAGTACACTAATTTCCATAGTTGGGTCCCATTGAGTGGAAAGAGGAACTTAATTCACTCTTCATCCTCTACGATCAAACGAGTCTGTTCCACTGACACAATAGATGAGGAACTATATCAACTTCGACAAACTCTCATCAGAAATGTTTATCCACCTAGATTCGTCGATAGCAACTTAACACCTAGACTTCACCATGAAAAACTATCGACAGTACAGAAGAAAACCCTGTTTATGAATATGGAATTAAAAGGAGACACGGCTGCTGAAATCTTAAATAAACGGATTTCAAAATAATTGAATAAAACTTTCTACACATCCAAGCTCCGAATTGTTTTCTCAAGCTGTTCAACCATTCCTGAATGTGTTAATGATAAACTTTCGCTTTAGGCCACATCAATGTGTATCTATAAATTTACTTGCTCATGTGGGGCTCGCTATATAGGCCGTACAATGCGATCACTTTCGAAACGCATCTCAGAACACTATTCGGCTTGGCTTTTAAAAGGAGAATGTAAGACAATCACTAGTTCTATACACCAGCATTCAATCAATTGTGGACAAATCGCTCCGAAAGATTACTCCTTTAATCTACTGAGTCAAAGGACCTGGATCGAAGAGGTGGCGAATCAATATTCTATACACTGCTGAGGCATTGGCAATTCACGAACTCAAGCCCGAACTTTGCATGAAGAAACGAATCGCCCAACCTCTCATCCTTCCTTGGCCCTAATTCCCTTAATGGATATGTTTCTGGTTGTTTTTTCTGCACTTTGATTTGATTTTTTTCAATTTTTTCAATTATTGTTTTGTAATTTTAAACTCTAATTAGTGATTATCATTACCTTATGCA